GGAAGGAAGGAAGGAAGGAAGGAAGGAAGGAAGGAAGGAAGGAAGGAAGGAAGGAAGGAAGGAAGGAAATGCCTCTAAAAACAAAATTTTAAAAAATTCAATATTTTCATGAGGTTTTTTTCACATGTATATTTATTCATTTTGTGTTCATTGGTGTTTTACCTGCATGTGTATTTGCACAAGAGTGTCAGAAGCCCTGGAACTGGAGTTACAGATAGGTAACTCCATGAGCTGCTATGTGGGTGCTGGGAATTGAACCCGGGTCCTCTGGAAGAGCAGCCAGTGCTCTTAACTGGTGAGCCATCTTCTCCAGCTCCTCAAGGCTTTTTATTTTTTTATTTTGTGTGTATGGGTGTTTTGCTTGCACACATGTCTGTGTGCCACTTACATGCCTGGTGTTGGCAGAGGTCAGAAGAGGGCATCAGATCCCCTGGAACTGCAGTTACAGAGAGGTGTGACCCACCATGTGGATGCTGGGAGCTGAGCCAGTGCCCTTAATCACTGACCTGTCCTTCCAGCCCCAGTTTACGTAAGTTTACACTTTTATGCCGGGCTGCTTCCTAGCTATTCTTGGCTGCACATGGTTTGTGGGTCATGGGTTAGAAACACCCGTTAAGGCTCAAAAACAAATTACTTCCCCCACCCTTCAGTTAATGTCAATCTCTCGGTGTCTTCAGTTGTCTTCTCGTTGGTACTTTTCACACTATATGTGATTTGTTGCTATCTCCTTTCTTGCCTTTGTTGTTGTTATCATTGTTGGGTTTTTGTTTTTGAAACAAAGGCTGGCCATGAACTATGCATACAGCCCAGTTTCTTACCTGCTCCTGGCTCAGCCTCAACTGTTCAGATATAGGTGTTCACCTCGATTGGGTCACATGCTCATCTTTGCACTCTCAACGACAGCAACCCGCACCCAGCGGGTCTCAGGATACGGTGGTTGAAATGGATTGCGGAATCTTAGTCATAAGCACAACCATGGCTTTTCCTCAATTTAGGTACTTTACTCGTGTGCGTGTGCGTGTGTGTGATCTATATTTATGAATGACACATATTTAGATAGGCTAAATTTTAATTTTTATAAATTATTTTGTGATTTATTTATTTATTTTTGGTTATAAGAGACAGGGTTTCTCCGTGTAGCCCTGGCTGTCCTTGAACTCAGAGACCTGCCTGCTTCTGCCTCCAGTGTGCACCACCACTGGATTCATTTACTTTTTTAAGAGTGTGTGTGTGTGTGTGTGTGTGTGTGTGTGTGTGTGTGTGTGTGTGTGTTAGATCAAATTCCCGAGCCTGGTATCTACCAGACCGGAACTCTACCACTGAGGTAAATGCCCAGCCATCATGGTCCTTTTGATTTTTGCCTTTAGAAATATCAGCAAATAGTCTGAATACACAGAGAAAACTGGACAATGATATGTCTTAATTCCTCCTCCTTAATGCTCCCCCTCTTCTGTCCACTTCATCCTGATCCCCCAACTTAGCCACCTAATATTTGGTGCCCTTTCTACATGTGAGGAAACGCGCTCTTCTGAGAGCAGAGTTCACTCTATGCTTCCACCTTCCACAGGGAAGATCCTCCTTGCGCTAACCACTCCTGTCTACTGCCATGCTCGCACACTTGGAACTATGTCATGGACTGCTGTTTGCATCCCGACCCAACCATCAACAGGTAAGTGCAGAAATAAACGTGATGTGATACAAGACAGAGTATTGTTTAGCAATGAGAAATTCATCAGTGAATATACCACATCACGGGTTAATCCTGAAAATATAGTGGAAAAGGCCAGCCACATAATATGTCTTCATTTATCTATCATGTCTAGACAGGCAGCACCAGAGAGGCATTAGTGGTCCCCAAAAGCTGAGCAGAAATAAGTGATTTGCTAGTAGATACAAGATATATTTACCACTTCCTCGGAAGTGGTAAATATACTCTAAAATTGGTATTGTAATGACGGAAAAAACTATCTGTGAATATACAGAAAACTACTAAATTGCTGGGCTGTGAGGTGGATCTGTCAACTAGAGTTCAATAAAGCTGTCACAAGAGAAGGGAATGTTGTTTGCTTTTGCTCTGAGTTCAGAAGTTGAAAGTCCAGGTGTACAGGGTGATGACAAACAACTTTCTTAGCAGATGCTCCTCCGCTAGGGCCAGTCAGCAGCTAGGTGAGTGGGTGTGGGCCATTAGCCAAGGCTAGACAGCTGGCACATACCCGGGAGATGGGGACAGGAAGTGACTGAATCCACATGAACCATTTTACAGGGATATATGAAGCAAAGTAATTTAAAGCATGAAACTCCTCAGGTTCCAAGGACATTTCACCAGACAGACTGATGGATGCCTTTGCTCTGTGGTCTTAAGTTGTCCCCATTCTCAAGTGCGGCCATCACCATCCCTTTCACCTGAATCCTCTGGGAAACTTTCAGAGGTTAGCAATGCCTGAGTGTTCTGTATTGTTTTGTTCTTGAGACAAGATCCAATTATGTAGTGTTTGCAGGCCTCCTCTCTAGATATAGACCAGGCTGGTCTTGAACTCAGAGATCTCTGCCTGCCTGCCTGCCTGCCTGCCGGGTCCTGGTGTTCTGGGAATAAACACAGCTGGCACAATGCCCTATTTTGGTGATTACTAAGCCATCTTCTGAGTTTTCCACGACACATAGAATCAACTCCCAGAAAATGTCCATGGAACATTCTATGGAACCTGTGACAATGTTACCTTGTTTGGCAAAAGGGGCCTACAGATATGGCTAAACTTAGGCTACCAGGGCAGGAAAATCATTCTGGGTAATATGGATATGGCAAACGCAATCACAAAAATTCTTATAAATGGAAAGAAAAGGTAGGAAAACTGAAAACTAGAGGCTATGTGAACAGCCTGTAGAAGCTGGAGACAAAAAAGAGAATGGATTTCCCCTGTGCCACATCTCTGCCAACACTCCTGTGGTTCTCCAGCACCCATCAGACTTCTACTCTCCAGACAGAGTCCCCTGCGCTGCTCTGTGACTGCGGCAGCAGCAACGGGAGAGGGGTCAGTTTGTCCCGCCTGTGTCAATGCCAGGCCTGGAACACATGGCTCCTACTTGAGGAGATGAGCTGATTTCAACTGTTTAAGAGGAAGTGCTGGAGTTGGCTATGATGTAATCCAAACTGTACCCTTAGAACTCAGGAGTATGAGAGAGAAAACTGCCGTGAGTTTAAAGTCAGCGTGGGAGACCCTATCTCAAAACAAACAAACAAACAAAAACCAGATCAAGTATTGGTTTGTCTCAAAGTAAAAATACTTCTCCCTTTGGGCTAGAGAGCTCCAGAAGTAGTTAGCAAAGGCTGTAATTTGATAAATGGCTGTGGTCAATAGAGGTAATGAAACAGAAACATTGGAAACACGGATTTCAGAATAATACTGTGGGTCAGTAGTGACTGACTTCAATCGTCTCCAGGTCTTTGCCATGTTTTTTAGGGGAAGCTTTAGAAGGAACTGGTTGAGACAAGATGGGAAGTTGAAACGGTGTCGTTCATCTAAGGCTTGGCAGTAGTCTAGGAAGAACGTTAACAATGTCACAGAGATGGAGGTCCACAAAGGAGACGGGGGAGGTCTCCCCAGCAGTGAAGGAAAGAAACGACACAGGAAGGACAGGAGGACACAGGACAGACACCACGGGATGACACCCATGTCAAATCACTAGCAGAACCCAGGAACCGAAACTTTTCTACTTTTTACTACAAATTTGATTTTTAGCTTAATACTTGTACATCCTCCAAATTTTCCTAACCACTTTTTCAATTCCCATTTAAAGTCATAAAGCTCCTACGACTGAGCTGTAATTCATAGCATGCAAGAAAACTCGGCACCCTTTGTGATTCATGCTATCTGCTCTCCCGGGTATTTAAGAACACACCACACCAATGGCAATGCTCCATCGCCTTCCCCTCCACCACAGGGCGTTCGCAGTCAGCTCCTCACTTACAACTGAGCAGTTCCGCACTTTTGAAGGAATGCCATCCTCCTCTGTTGCTCCATTAGGGCCGGGTGCGTCTTTCCTCCTCTTCCTCGAATTGACTTTAGCTGAACACTGTGCATCCATCTTCTTTTAACTGCTCAAAAAAAAAAAAAAAAAAAAAAAAAAAAGCAGAGAAATGTCTGAACCAGTATTCTAGAGACACAAATGCACTCAGCAAAACAGTAATTACAGAGCATACGTTTACCAGATGAGCCAAGGAGGGGTGGTGTACAAACTCTACTGTGGAACGACGGCCACAGTTCATCTCCTGGCCTGGAAACTTAGTCCCCAGCCAGCACGTCAGCCCACACACCGCCCATTTCCTATCTTGACGGTGCCCAGAGGACTGGAGTAACCTGGCTGAGGAAGACTCCCGTCCAAATCGAGGTAGCTTAAATGCTTGTGACCAGGGGATCAGACTTCAGGTTTCTTTGGATTTGGGAATATGAACTTAGACTTTACTGATTACACATTCCTACCCCGAAATACAAAATACCGGGAAATCTAAAGGGGTTTTAGCAGACTGGGAATGGTCAACCTAGGCAGACGTTTTGTCTGGTTTGGTTTTGATGTGTATGGGGGGTTTGGAAGGCACTCATTATGTAGCACTGGCTGGCCCAGAACTCAACATGCAGACCGGGGTGGCCTCCCACGTGATGCTCCTGCTGCCTCTACCTCCCCAATGCTGAGTTCCAGGCACGCATCACCGCCCCAGCTTATCTCTGCTCTCTGCCTCAGTCACAGAAGCACACCGGTGCGACGTGAACAGCCGTCTTTGGCAGAATGCTCTTGCCTCAGCCTTCTGGCCCTGGGGTTACGGTCGTGAGTCACCATGCCATTGCTTCTTCTGTCAGGGTCACCACCCCAAGCTGGTTCAGAATTCCCAGCTAATAAACACACAGAATCTCTTTCTCTAAAAGAAAACCTACTTTTCTGTCTAGTTTAGCAGAGAGTATCTAGCACCCCCCTATCCTGAGAGACAGAACCACCAATGTCCTGCTTAGATGTGAGTTTATGCTATCTCTACAGACCCAGCGGGAATATTTGCACTAAAATTTTTACTACGTTTATTTGTATGTGCGTGCGTGCGTGCGTGTGTGCATGTGCGCATGTGCGTGTGTGTGTGTGTGTGTGTGTGTGTGTGTGTGTGTGTGTGTGTGTGTGTGTGTGTGTGTGTGTGTGTGTGTGTACACATATGTGGAGGAGGGAGGAGGTCAAAGGACAACTTGTGTGCACTAGCCCCCTCTTTCTACCACACAAGTCCTCGGACTCAGGTTATCAGGTCTGGTAACAAGCACCTTTAACCAATGAACCACCCTGCTAGCCCCAAATTCCCATTTTTCTTAGGTGATATAATCTGCATGAAGCAACTAATGTCTTTTTAATGATGAACGGTTAGGCATCATCCAGAAACTGGGGATAGAGAAGCTCTATGATCAAATGTCACTTCTGCCTAAGATAATGACCGGCACAGAGGGAAATCTGCTGTGAAAGAAAGCAAGGGCAGACAGGAGGAGGTCACTCCACTTTGCTGATGCCTCCTGTAAGCCCTCTCAAACAAGACGTCCTTCTGACATCCGCACTTTCCTCCAGCCCCAACCCAGGTGGAAAGGTGGCCTGATTCTTAAGCGGCTGAAGGTGACGCCGCCCTGTGAGTCACGGCTAAGCAGCAGCCGGCAGAGAGAGATAGCAGTCTAGAGGGCGGGAGCCGCCCAGAAACTGCCTTTCCTTACACACGGACACGGAAGACGGTGAAGGGCCTCCAGCCAGCACGAGGTGCTCCCCGTCAGCAATCGCTCTTCTACGCACGCACCGACCTGAGAGCTTGTGAGAAGATGTCAGGCCAGTTTCTACCGGCTGGCTCGTCACAGGGCCCTTCTATGAGCATCTGTTCCGTTCCTCAACCGAGGCTTCCTCTTCCCTCCCCGTGACATTTCTTGTGTCGAGTTGACAAAAGCCAACCAGCACCTAGAAAGCATCGCAGTGTGCCAGGCGTAGTGATGGAGGCCTGTGATCTGGACACTCGGGTGGCCAAGACTGACCCGGCCTATGCAGCAGGCTCCATGTCAGTCTGAGTTACACAGCAAGACCTCGTCCCATAAAAGGAAAGGCTGGAGATGTAGCTGAGTGGTAGACCTGCCTACCAGGCAAAGGCACTTGGTTCAGTTTCCAGCACCACAAACACACAATCACAGTGTATCCATACTTATACACAATTATCACTGGCCAATGAAAATGAAACGCAGGCTGGTGAGATGGCTTAGAGATCAAAAGTGCCCACTGCCAAGCCTGGTGACCTAAGTCCGATGTCCAGGCCCTACACAGTGGAAGGAGGCAACTGTCTCCTGCAGGTTGTCCTTTGACCTCCACACGGGCACGCGCCTCCCATAAACAGTAAGAAATGAAGAAATGTAACAAAGTGAAATGCAGGTAGCCACTGTTTTAAGGAGACTTCACATGCGGGTTCTTGTAGGCAGAGTTTTTCCTGTCTCAGCAGCTGTTCCCCAAAAACCTACTATGAGGTACCAAGGACACAGCAGTCACACAAGCGTGTCAGGAGGACATAAGCAAACAAACTCCCACTGAAGGACATCCCACTAGGAGGCTAGTCTTCAAAAACTGTTGGTCACGAAAAACAATGAAAGGCTGAGAACTGACCTTCCAGAACTAGGTGATTATGCTGTCAGGTATCACTTATTTAGGAGCCACACACTCAAGTATCCTGAAACAGTCATAGCTACAGTTTACTCCAGGTACAAGGAAAAAGAGGAAGGGGAAGAAATAAAATATTATATTTTGACAATGGCAAAATATTTGCAATATATGAATCTAGGTGAGGCATATGGGAGTTTATCTTAATATTCCTGAACTTCATGACAGGCTTTCCTTTTTATGGTTTTTTTTTTCCCCAACACAAGTAGAGGAAGGGGAAACAAGGAAAATGTATATAATATATATAAGGAAGCAGAGCTGAAGTGTAATTCAGTGGTAAAGAACTTGCCTGCCAGTCACAGCCCTGTATTGGATCTCCAAAGTGAGAAAAAGAGCAAAGTGTGACCATAGATTTAGCACAAGGAAGTTCATCTCAGTATTTCTGCATTTTTTTCCCATAGTCTTTCCTTGTGGTGATACATTGTTTGTAATCTAAGAAATAAAGCCTGCCTGAAGATCAGAGGACAGAGCCAGCCACAGAGTGAGCCATAGAGGTTCAGGCAGTGGTGGCGCACACCTTTAATCCTAGCACTCAGGAGGCAGAGATCTGTCTGGATTTCTATGAATTCAAGGCCACGCTGGGCTTATAAGACCAATTAGGATTCGTGCAGTATTTCCTTTTCAAAATAAAAGATTTTATTCTAAAAATTCTCTACAGTTTCCTGCACAGATCAGCCCTCATATGAGATCACCCCTGGAGTTCCTTCTCTGTCTCAACTTGTTGAATCCTAACATGGGCTGCATAATGCATGTTCATGTGCTATATAACATGTGTACATAGCATTGCCATACAATGCATGCTGTAATTTTACAACTCCATTGAGGTGTAATTGATACACATTAAAACACATTAAACTGTACAAGCGGGGTGGAAGATGGCTCAGTAATTAAGGCAGACTGCTCTTCATAGGACCCCAGTTCAGGGCCCAGGACCCATATTAGACAGTAACAACTGTGGGGAACTCCAGCTCCAGAGGGATCATCCTGTGCTTCTGACCTCTTTCACACTACACTCACATGAACACACCCACACACAGACACACACACATATATACATAATTAAAATAAATTTAAAAATTAAAATGCAATTTAAAAACTAAAACCAAGGCTAGGTGTGGTGCATCCCTTTAATCCTAGTACTTGGGAGGCTAAGGCTGGCGATAGGCAATCTCGAGTTTGAGTTCCAGGATAGCCAGGACTATATAGAGAGACTTTGTCTCAAAAAAAAAAAAAATAGATGGATGGGTGGATGATAGACAGACAGACAGACTATGGGTCCCACAGATCTACCTTAATACCTACTGAGCCTTCATAAATCTTCCATTAAGCTCTATCTCTTAAAGGTCCCACCATCACACCACACAATAAGGACCAAACAGACCCAAGCTATACAGAATGCAACTTATTGGAAGACTTAGTGACAGAAGTATGGTCATAAGCAGGATCAAAACCAGTTAGCTCCTGCAATTTGGGTCAAAGAGGGGTGTTTATTTATGGGTCAGGGCAAAAATGGCTATTGTGACTGGAATGTACCTGCTTTATCGTAAGATAATACTAAAGAGTCCAGAACATCCCTGGATCGGGGGTCCTATGGTAAAGCCCTACATGTAGTGATTTTATCCATTTATGGTTTTCTGGGAAATAATGCAAAAAAAAAATTAGCTATGGTTTCTTAGAAGCAACCACGGTGGCTACAGTTCATGACTGCCGTCCTGTCACTCCATATCCTTATCATCTCAAGTGCAAAAATGCGTTCACTGCACTCCACAGCCAACGCCATTCAAAAGTCCAAAGTCTCATCTGGAACTCAAGTTCAGTTTGTGATTCCTTGTGAAACAATAAGCCAGTTACAGACCTCCACGATAAAATGGTGTTTCAGGGCTAGAACAGATATTCCTATCCAAGAGAAGGCTAGAGATGAGTAGAAAGAACAACCAGTCCAAAGCCAGCCGAAACCCAGCTTCCTTTCCACTAACCGAAGAAACCCAGGCCTGGCACCGTTCACATGTTTGCTGGGGAGTGAGTCCCCAGGACTGCTGCTTGTCACCTGGGGCTGGTTTTCTAGGCTGCCCGAAGCTCTGCCTGGCATGCACTTCACACTGCTGATAGCTGTCCCTTTCTTTCTGGGGCCTCAACTGCTGCTCAGCATGCCTGACTGCACAGAAATGGGCTCTCTGAAGAAGTTCCTACTCTGTGAGAGACTTCTGCCTTGCCTTCTAAGCTTTCCTTTGAAATCTGGGTAGAAGCCACCATGACCTCTTAATACTTGCTTTCTGCATGCTGCATAGTCAGCACATAGACACCAAAGGACAAGCTGTACCCAGGCCCATGTGACTCACGCTGCAGCCACGAAGTGCTGGCCAGTCTGACACAGGGGAATGA